AAAAAGAGTTAATTATCATGTTATTACATATAGAACTATGTAAATGAGGATTAGCGGTTATAGAAACAATGTTATGAGTTTTCCGTAACTGACGATGTCAACAACTACTCAACATTCTTAGGTAATCATCGCCACCACAATCTATAGAAATACTGGCCCAAGAGCTCCGCAGTCCAGCCTAGCTCGTCCACTCCTCCTCTCCTCCACTCCTCCTGTCCTGTCCTCTCCTCTCCTCTCTCTTTCTCTCTCCTTAGTGTGAGGAGTCTATTTATTCTCAGCCCACTGCTGTTAGACATGCAAACAGACAATGCGGGGCTTGTTCTGTGCTGCTCGGGGTGTGTTGGGGACGGGTAATTGTCGCCTGGCGGGGGAGCGCCTCACTCCGAGGGACATCACATCCCCGTCAGAGCTCTGACAGCCGCGCCTCGCTAATTGTGACAGTTCAATGCTTAGATCACTTTGTGCGCCGCTAATTCAATACCCCATGCATCATTTTCTCCATTAGAATATGCAAATGACTCGCGACTTGAAAACAGACAACAGCTCCTTCCTCCTCGTGTGTTTCTCTCTCTCGCTCGCTCTCTCTCTCTCTCTCTCGCTCTCTCTGTCTTTCTGTCTTTCTCTCTTCACTTCTTTTTCTTTTTCAATCCCCTGCTTTTTATCTCACCCACCCCACCTCTCTCTCTCTCCCTCCCTCCCTCTCTCTCTTTCTGTCTTTCTCTCTTGCCTTCTTTTTCTCTCTCAATCCTCTGCTTTTTATCTCACCCGCCCCACCTCTCTTTCTCCTCATACCATTTTTCTTTTTCATTCTCTTTCCTCCCCTCTCTCTTCATCTCTTTTTTCTCTTTCCTCTCTCCCTTTTCATCTATCTTTTCTCTCTCACTCTTTCCTCACTCTTTCTTCACTTTCTCTCTTTTTCTCCTTCTCTCTTCATCTCTCTTCTCTCTTTTTCTTTCCTGCCTCTCTCTCTTTACCTCTCTCTTTTCACTTTCTCTGTCTCTCTTTCCACCCCCTTTTCTCTCTTTCTCTCTCTGTCCTCTTTCTCTCTTTCTCTTTTTCCTCACTCTCTCTTTTTACCTCTTTTCTCACTTTCTCCCTCTTTCCACCCTCTCTGTCTTCATCTCTCTTTTCTCTTTCTCTCTGTTTCCTCTCTCTTTCTCTTTTCTCTCTTTCTTTCTTTCTTTCCTCCCTCTCTGTCTTAATTTCTCTCTGCTCTCTTTCTCTCTTTTTTCCCTCTCTCTTCAACTCTCTTTTCTCACTTTCTCTCTCTCTCTCTCTTTCCACCCCTTTTCTCTCTCTCTGTCCTCCCTCTCTCTCTTTATCTCTTTTTCTCTTTCTCTCTGTCTTACTCTTTCCTCAGCCCACATTTTTTCTCTCTCCATCCCTCGCTTTTAGCTCTCCTTATTCTCTCTTTCTCTCTCCCTCTCATGCTTTCTCGCTATTTTTTTTCTCACCCCTCTTTTCTCTCTTTCTCCGTGTCTTTCCTTCAGTCAATCTCGTCCCCTTTTGTTTTTCTCTCCTTGACAGATTTTTTCTTTCCTCTTTCCTCAGCCTACATTTTTTTCTCTCTCTCCTGTTTTACTTCTCTCTCCTTCTGTGTTCTCTCTCTCTCTCTCTCTCTCTCTCTCTCTTTCTTTCCAAATAACTTTTTTATTGGCTTGACTGTCTCAAGTACAATGTTTGCAAAGCTTTATACTTTAAAGTAGGACTACAAGCAATTAAAGAATTAATGACAGTAATAATGTAAATAATCATGGTCAAATAACAATTATAACTATGAGGTCAGTAAAGTAAATAAATACAATTATATAATATGTATTAAATGATAAAAATAGCAATTAACAATACACATATTTAACTTCTTATATGCAAACCTAATTCAAAACATTTGGGACAGTATGTAAAATGCAGTCTTTTACAGGTATTTAGTAAAAACAGCTCCAAGGAGGAAAAGGACCATCATGATTTGTCCTCGAAGTTTAAAAGCCAGCATCTGTCATGGTGTAGGGGGTAACTTGCACATCTGTGAAGGCTCTATTAATGCTGAGGGGTACATACATATTTTAGAGCAAAAGATGCTGCCATCTAGATGACGTCTTTTTCAGAGACATCTCTGCTTTTTTCAGCAAGACAATGCCAAGTAGAGGTCTGCGCAGGACTTCTTCCGCAAGATTTCATCCCACACCTGCTCACTCCTGTAGAAAATGGGAATCATTTGTCCCGTCCCACCCGCAACCGAGATGTTTTGGCCCACTCCCACCTGTGCAGTTCCATCAAGGCGAACTGACATCCAATATTTGACATAGTCCATTCACAAATACATTGCTGTCTGCTGAAATAACATGAGTCATGGTCATCAGGCTCACTGTGAAGTAACTTTACCAAACGCCACTTATTCCCAGTAAACACAAAGAGGAATTAATCCACAGTTTTGCTGGGCAGCTGTGGCCGTCGGACGGATCCACCGTCTCTAAGTTACAAGAATTTGTATGTTGTTCATGTGATTGTTTGCTTTGCCACACTTTAGCATGACTTCATTCATTTTAATTGTTTTACTGTTATCATATTATTTTGTTTGTATATATTTGATTTAGTGATCGTTCTACTTTATTTAGGCTATTCAGTAATTTGCGGGATTTCTTATCATGTGTGCTTTGTCCTGCTCCTGCCTGCAGTGGGCTGATTTCCTGCCCACTCCTGTGCACAATACTGAAAATTAGTCCTGCGCCACAAGATATTGTGGTGGGTCCAGCGGGAATCTGCGTGAGTGCAGCCCTCTAACGCCCAGCCACATTCTACACCTTTGTGGTTTCGTTGTGAGATTTGAAAATACATGTCCTTTACATTGTGTGAAATTTCATGATGAATATATTAAAAGAAACAACCTAAAATTACTTAGAAAAAAAGTCTGGTTCCACTGACCTACATTAAAAGTAAAGTATGTTTTTTCCTTCTCCTATAGACAGAGAGACAGACAGACAGACAGACAGACAGACAGACAGACAGACAGACAGACAGAATTTGGAAGAATGTTTTTCAATTTTTAACAAAAAATTTGATAGTTTTCTTTTTGGTTTTTCTCAGTGAAGGAACTTTTTTTTTTTTTTCTCAGCCCACATTTCTCTCTCTCTTTCTCTTTTTAATTCTCCCCACCTACTGTCTCTCTGTCTGTCTGTCTGTCTGTCTGTCTGTCTGTCTTTCTCTCTCTCTCTCTCCTTTCTTTCTCTCTATGTCTCTTTTCCCTCTGTGTGTCTCTTTCCTCCTGTGTTAGCTGAGAGCAGTTGAATAATGTGTCAAAGTGACAAGTGAGACTGAGGAGATGGGGATGTGTGTGTGTGTGTGTGTGTGTGTGTGTGTGTGTGTGTGTGTGTGTGTGTGTGTGTGTGTGTGTGTGAGAGAGAGAGAGAGAGAGGCTGTGCCACCCTTCACAGGTTGTCTCGGTTTTCTAAGCATATTCACTGATAGAGACATACCAATTTAAATCAGGCTCTATATATAGTGAGGTAAACAATGGCCCCGGCACAGATGAAGTCAGCTTTTTGAGGCATCTGACTGCCTCTAATCAGTGCATCCAGGAAATGAAGGAAATCTCTACTTAGCTGCTGCTAATGTGGACATTAAGCATACAGTATCAGTCAAAGATTTGAACATACCTCATTAAATGTGTTTATCATTTTAACGTTTGATGCACATCGCTAAGATGAATATAAACACAGTTTGTAAAGTTTATAAAGTTTATATGCTTCTGGATGAATTTATTCCCAAAGGAAAAGGTTTTCAGCTTTAAATGCCCCTCAGGCTCCTCATGAAGCTGCTTTAGAGAATGATCAAGAGTGTGTAAATCTCCACCAAGGCACAGAGGATCGGTCACTACATAACTCCATGTGTTATTTCATAGGTTTAATGTCTTTTACTGTCCTAAAATGTGGACAATAGTGAAAATAAGGAAAACCAATACCACTTTAGAATATAACTACCTTTTATAAAGGGTTTATGAATGGTTTAAATATAGTTCATTAATGCTTAAGTTAGTTGTTTGCCTTATAGTAAACACACGTTCATCTGGGCTATGAAAGCTCAGATGTTGCTGGTTATGGATCTTACTTTGTTGTTTCAGCGGTCAGCATTAAACTGTTCAGCTTCATCACTTTTGCCCATTTTATTAATGTCTTATAAGGTGTTTTTGGCCTAATTAATAACTATTACTAAATGAGTTTTAAACTATTCATAAACTTTTACAAGGGTAGTCTTATTCTAAAGCGGTTCCAGAAAATCCTGCCATAGAGGACTCTGTGCAGATACCCAATTAAAAACCAAACCATTCTTTTCCTGAAGTTAATTCACTTGTGGAAAGAATTTCCCCTCAATTAGCTGTCTTTCTTTGAAAAAAGGCAATTCTGTTGATCCAATATGATTTACTAAAAGTGGCTAAACATAACCTGCTATTACATTTCCAACTCAACTCAAATGTGTTGAACTTGATTTCGTAGTATTGATTTAACCTCTGTTGGTCTAGAGTTGGCTTAAAAGTGGCCACTGCAGTGCCAGTCAGTTTGGAAACACACTCAGCAATAAAGAATATGGAAACACGTTCTTATAGCCAATAATAACAAGGGTAAGCAATTAACCAGAATATAGAATTCAAGGAAAAGTAGTCTAGGAAGAAAAGATAACACAGAGATGGTAGGTGAAACAAAGGGAACGACGCACCCAGTATGCAAATAGATGGAGCCAAAAGCCAACAAAATCTTATCTCTTTGCCAGTCTCTTCAGCTGCTCAGTCAATGCACTGATGCAACTCAAAGATCAATTTAAATACATGAAATCATTCAAAAAGTTCCCCAAATTCTGATTAGTTGAGTACAATAGAATACAATTCAGTAAAACACAGATTAAACTGAACTACGAATTGTGACCATTTTGTTTGATGTGTACTTGTGAAAGCAGCTTGTTCATCAATTACTTCATTAATTACATCCAAAAGAAACTGATCTCCTTACCCCGTGTGATGGGTATGTCAGCCAGCCCCAGTCTCCTGATATCGAGGAAGTGTCCAGGAGATTCACTGTAAGAGATAAAGAGAGGTTTAAGATTGAAAATCAATGGAGGAGCTTTTTTTAAGCTTATCCATCCTGGATGTCAGTCTGAAGAAAAATACCTTAGTTCGACCAGATCAGATGCTCTAATGAGTGAAGAGTTCATGGACGAGTCAAAATCCATGTTCAGAACTGAAAACATTCTGTGGAAGCAGCAGTAAATCCATGGTGTTGTTCTACTACATTAATGAGTTAATAAAAGCAGGGAAGTCTGGTTCGTTACACTTGAGCAAAGGCCAGAGAGCCACTCCTCAGGACGCTCCGACACAGACGCCCATCAATTGAACCTTCAATAACTGTGTCTCCACTTACTATTTACAGAATTAGGGTGCGCTTGCTCTCGACAATGCCGGCGGATGGCAGCGGACGACGTTCTGACCGTCTGATTAATCACCGCTCGATGCGTCTGAACTCCTTCACAGCAGAATCGATGCCAATTGAATCACAACCCAAACCCTGAGATTTGGGTTGTGTAGTCTCGCTCCTTGCCCGAAGCCCCCTTACGCTCGACGTGATGAAACGCTTTCGACCACCACATTGACATTTCCTCTGGGCCTTTCCCCTCCTTTAATTTATTGATGGCTAGACCCCTAGCCCGCTCTCAGCGCACTCCAAGGTCACCTCAGAATAAGACGCGACCGCCCAGCTTTAGAGTGATAGTCTGGCAAAAGATCAAATTTACACTGTTTTCTCCACCTTTTAACCCAGGTTTCAATGAGACAAGGCAGGTTTGCACTGGCGCTATAAGGCTAATGTAGCTAACCAGTAATAGAAGCTTACAGCTCTTTAGCATTGAGTAAACTGCATGCCTAACCCATCACACACTTGCTTCAAACCATGTGGAGTTGTTAAGTCATCTCAAACAGGCTTGTTTGTGTGATTTCTAATATGAATAAAAACATGTTCAGCTAAAAACAGCAGTGACAGGCTGTCATTTTGGAGCATATGTTGATATTTGTGATTTGCAGACACACATCCAGATTTGTTTTTTAATTCTTTGCATTTTGGCCTCTCGTCCACATGAAAACAACATTTTAGATCACAGAAAACTGTGCTTCTGAACAAGCTCTCCTGGATATTTCTGAAAATGCTTTCATATGGAAAGGCAAAATGCACTAGGCACGAACACTGAATATGAAATAAAGGTTCTGTGCAGGTTTTCATTTACCAAGGTACAAACAACGTGGTCTAATATTCTAAAACAGAAAAATAAAAAATAAAAACAATAAAATAAAAGCCTGGAGATGAGACGGGGTGTGTGGAGTCAATACAGCTTAGAAAATATCATTTCAGTGGATTATGGTACAGTTATGTTCCCTGACTAAAGGTACTGAGATGTACCCTTGAGAGTACCACACCAGTGACAAGAGGGGCAGTTTAGTACTTTTATTTTTGAGATTGTAGAATTCTGCTTGAAATATGTATGCTTGGCAATTCAGGGGTAGCTTTACTTCATTCCACCGTCACGTGGAGGCACCATAATCTACTGCTCTCAGTTCTTTTAACTGAGGTGTCAACTCTATTGCAAATATCAGTGATTCTGAAGACTTGATGAACATTAAGTCTTTAGAATCACTGATATGTCTGATATGTCTTCTCTCTTTTTCTAAGCTTTTATATTCTGGTAGGAATTTGATTTTGAATCTGGGTGGCATGTCAAATTATAGACATTTATCTACCAAATCAAGCTGTTGGAAAATTTCTTCTTCAGTGTCATGCTTTATACTATTATATTATATTTGCAGAATGTGTACTATCGCCCCCTGCTGGGCTGGTATACTAATGTGAACGATTTCAAGCAGTTGTATGCTCTTGTGTGGAAAATTTTAACAAAGCTTTTGATGTGGAATAAGTTTTTTGGAAAACAGAAAAAGTTTTAAAAATATCCAGATGCAGTGGGATCCAGAAGTGTGAACACATTTAAAGACTGGGAGTTTTTTTTATTTAAACATATAAATAAACGATAAATAAACACTGTAAAAAAATTGCTCGTTACAAAATTACTAAAAAATGTAAAAACTGTACAAATTCACTCCATGTAGTAAGAAGCAATTGAACTAGTATTCTGTAGCTTAAAGGATTATACTGGTTGAAAGAATTGTTCATTCAATGCATTTATTAGGTTGAATAAAGCTAATTAATATACATGGTGATTCAAAAAGATTCGTCTGATTTCAAAGCACCATATTTTTACAACACTGAGATGCCTAGGAACCAATCACATACCAACTGAACGAGCAGAAAGCATTTTGCGTTCTCCACTTCAATAAGAGTGAATCTGTCGTAACTGTGCAACATGATTTTCGTGGGCAGTGAACCTACAACAGCTCAGAGCGTTCGTTGTCGGTTCCACAACACTGGATGATCCCCGAAATCGCACTGAAAGAGCTGTGAGTGCAGCGACACCCGACATGCTCAATCGAGTATGGGATGAGTTTGACTATGGCGTTGATGTTGTCCGTACAGCTGGAGGAGGTTCATACTGAGACCTTGTACAATTACATGATAAACTTTATGCTCATTTAAACCATTTACAGTTTACTGCATTGATCTGTAACGATTTACAAGAGAAATAAATCATTTTGAAATCAGATGAATCTTTCTGAATCACCCTGTATTTGTTACCAGATAATTTTTTTAAGTTGAATTGATGAGCCATTTTTTATACTGAAGGTTTTAAAATTTGGAAAGATTGAAAATGAAAAAGTCATCACAAGTAAAATGAAGAAATATTTAATATTTAATTTCTAGATCACTTTACAAATCTAAGGGCATCTATGACCATATTAAGGTTAAGGTCAGTTTTTTTTGTGCCTTATCTCTTCCATTAAAATGCATGTTCAGACGACTCTTAGGAGGATTTGATCTACTCATCAGAGGCTTTTGCACAAACTTGTAGAGTTCATGTCAGCTCAAGTGCACGCTGTAATTAAAGCCAAAGGGGAACAAATCCACAAACACTACAAAATTCTGAAAATCAACTGAACATGTAAAAGTAAATTACTTTTCACTCAAATGACCATGCTGATAAAATAATTTCTAATGTAAAATGTTGTATTTAATGAGAAAAGAATATGAATTATGGCCATTAGACAGCTCCAAGGCAAAAGGAAGCAAACTTCAGACATTTAAATTGTCTGACTGGTTGAGTAAAAGGGTAAAATACATTAATTTTTTGTTGAACTATTGCTTAAAGTGACTCCAACGCTGCTTATTTATTGCTCTCGTCACCTTGGCTGAAGGCCGTGTCATGTTAAATGCCGTTAGCCGACATCTCCTGAACCTTAGGAAAAAGAGCAGCTCATCCCGTCCTCAGCTGGGCTGGTGACACCTGATGAGGAGGGCTGGGGTTGAGGGGGACCTGTGACAGATGAGGCCGTCCCGGCGTGGAGAGGAGATGTTGAGAGACATTAACCTGACCCAGTTTCTCCCTCCCCCAGCCCCCAGACTCATAATTCCACTTTATATTCATCATACGCCACTGGCTGGAAATGGACAGAACAAGGACTTTCCACAGGACCTCAACAAAAAGTGCAGCAAGAGTGAGGCTGAGAATTCCGGGTCAGTGCAACTAGTGGATACGAGCCTGTATGGAGACCCCCGATGAAATGAGCACAGAACTACGCTGCACCTGTTACTCACAATATATCGTTAAATATGTATATGGATCATTTTACCAAGTTACTTTAAAGGTAGAGTTGAAAACACATTTCAAACTGTTAACTCACCTGGACTTTAGACTAAAATCCTTTTGCTTTGAATGACTTTCTACCTTAATTATGTTTACTTTATTAAAACTTCACAAAATGTTTCAGTAGTGACTGTTTCGGTAGTGACAATTCAAGCTAATTTTGATCATAACTCAAACACAGCCAGTACATGACTAGCAAACACAGCTTAACATGATATAAAATCATAGTACTTTTCATTAAAACATAAAAGTTGCTTAACTGCAGAAAGTATGTGTTTCAGTAGTGACAGTTCCTAATGTTACACACTGATTTTCAAATTTGGGACACCTTTCTGGGATCTACCTGCTCATCATGTGGCCATGATGGGACAGGGATTCAGTCTCACTTCCTGCTCTAAAAGAGGGGCGTGGCTGCACCCATAGACTAAAATTCTTTGTGATTTGGTAGTGACATGAAAATGCGGGACGGCATTTTTGATGAACATTTTTTATTCAAAATTAAATTCGTAATAAATCTAACTTTTTCAATTTTACTTTAAAAGAAATCAAAAAAAGATAATTAGATTAACATTACTGACTGGGATTACTTGGATCATGAAAAGCACAAAACACAACCAACTTCTAAGACTGAACTTTGGAGGTGTGGAAAAATATCCCTGCAGATTTCTTTGAAAACTGAAAGCACGTCTCAAAACAACAGAAGGTGTAATGAAGGCAAAGATTGGACGCATTAAATACTGGACAAAATCGTATTATGTTTAATGATATTATATCTAAACCCTAAAAAATGAATAACTTGTATTTTATGGCTGTTTTGACTACTCAACTAAATGAAAGGGTGGTCTCTTTCTTTTGGGTCAACTAGACCAAATGAGCAAATCAGATAAATGTGATTTAATTGCAATTAACTACACAAAATAATGCAATTAATCTCAGTTAATCACTGTAACTGTTTGACAGCCTGACAACACGCACCTCAGCCTGATAATATATACAGAGTTTTCTTCTCATTTCGGATATGATGAATTTCTGAAAAGAGTAACCGTTGACATAAAATGCAAGATACACTATTATAAGGTGGTATTAATCATACACTGTTAGAAATAAAGTTACTGTGCAGGAACATTTTTTTCATTTATCAAAATACAAACAATGTAAATGTTCCCTCAAAGGTACAACAGTGGTTTTAATGTCCGATTGTGAACCTTAAATAAGTTTTTCCAGGTGAAAAGTTTGTATTTGTACCTTTTCATAACCAAATGTTTTAAAACAAAACAG